ATATAAAAAGTCTTTATTTGGAGAAGGTATTGAATGGCAATTAAATATGTTACATGAAGATATTGTTAATATTGCAGGCTGATGTAGATGGCATGTCAGAGGTTGATGTTTGAAGAATTCTGAGAGATGTCATATTGAGGGCGCCAGGGATTGTATTCGACATAATACATCCCATCCAACCAACAAGAATGCCAGTCCCACATATTCCAGGCCACGATGTAACTGACTGATGTGTGTGCAACCATTGTAAACAAATGCCAACGCCCATAGAAAGGGAATGTTGTGGATTTTTGCCAGATAGATGTCTCTCCCTTCGACCAGTAAGTATCAATCATTATAGAGATTTTGTATTGTTGGATATATTTGTTGCATAAGTATTATGGAAACAAATAATGTCAATATAAGTTTGAAACAGATGATTTCATGATATTTTAAATGCCTGTTTCAAAGTTGCTAGCAACTCCCATTAAAATATCAGGTTACATCCACATTTTCACATGGTACAGAAAAAGTCAAGTTAAGTGAGTTTATTTAACAGCATTGCTAATACTTGATTGGCTAAGCTTGAGGACTTTTAAATTTGAAAAACGTTAAAATCCAGTTATTATGACTGTTCCATTAGACTGCGTCAAATTTATACTTATGTACCTCTTTATTACTGCGACTCTGTGTAACAAAAATGAAAAGTTCAATATCGTCACACTTCCCATTTTTGATCATATTTCATTGAATACTGGACTATTTTGCATTCAATTGTACTGTTGTTAATTTTTCAAATTTGACCAAATTATCTTGAAGTTGTTATATCTTTTGATAGCATTGTCATAAAGACTTCAAATAAAAAGCATTTTGTAGCATTTTAATTGTTGTAAAACTGATACTAAAAACTTCACCACTTATATGTATGACTTTGCATGAGGTTCATAACATGATATTTTGTATTGAAATAATATAATATAATAATGGTATCATTTTTTAAAATCTCAGGTTGATTCATTACAAGCTGCTGAGATTGAAAGAAGAACAATGAAACAAACATTGCCATGATCTAAGATCATGGAGAATAACGGCATCAAGATTTGGTGAAGTGGAGCACTCAACCTACCAAAGCCACTATGATAAGCTTTGTGAGTCCATAGTCAATCCCAAGACTTTTAAATCTGAAGCAACAGCTCATGGTATCAAGTAGGAGCAAATGGCAAGAAAATGCTTTGAGGACAAAAATGTTGTGCTTCAAATTGAGAAAATATACTGTATTAATATCATACGTTAGTAACATATTGTTTTGATTCATAATTTCATTGACAGATTATAGCAGAACGTAAAATTATAGGTTAAGGCCTAGCCAAGGAGGATTGGCTCCCAGGGTTCCAACTCAATATTGACCTTGACTTTGATTGACAACCTTGAATATTTCTGATATTATAACTGTGATGGAGTAATGGTTCGCCCATTCAAGTTTTATGCTTCACTTAATTGCATAAGAACTCAGTGTTTGAATATCCATTCATATATGTTAAGTGAAACTTGTTTTGTGCATGACCAGGGGTCATTAGATTACTCAGATGTTAAGAGTTGAGACACTGAAGTAGTAACAGTGAAATATGCAATAAGAACTAAGAAATATAAGTTTGATTTTAGATAAGAAAGTGAAATTTTATGCATTTATTTATCATGAGGTGTTTAGCTACCTTTCAACATCTCTACAATAACTGACAATAAATTCATAACCAGTGATCCAAAAGAATTAAACTACGGTAAAATTTAAAATGTAAGGAACTACTTTGAATTGAAAAAATAAAGCAATCTAATGACTATATTGCAACAGTATATGAAAAAATTTAAACATTTGTACAAGTCCTAACTTTTGTATATTTCAGAAAGTTATGTATAATGTGCAGAAAAGCTGTGTCCTTTTGTAATTTAGGGAGTTTCAGCCAGTGGTCCTTTAATTGCTTATTTTGTATATTCAAAGAAATTCCAAACATTTAAAATTTTACTGTAATATCTCGATCACTTCTTGTGTTTTGATTTTTTTGATTGGAAATAAAAATCATGATTGAAATTTTGAAGCGAAAAAATGGCAGCTATTTCATTTTGATAATAAGGTCAAGGTCATGACACAATGTATGACAGAACCCTTAAAGCCAATCCTCTTTGGGTCTAGCCAAGCTGTACATGTATTTTTGAATGAGAAACTAGTTGGGTTGGGACAAGCCCAGGCATTGTTTGAGAGCCTGAACTAAAATGTAGTATAATGCAATCATATTGCCCTTAAAAATTTTAATTTTTCAAACCTCATTACATCTTTTGTAATTGAGGTGAATCCCAAAAAGTAAAAATTTGAAAAATCAACACTTGACATTTCGAGGGTTTTTGAAGGTCACTTTTAAGAATGTGTAGATGATTTTGAAAAACATTTGGTCAATTTGAGGCAAAAATTTGACCTTTTTCAGTTTTTGAGCTCTTGTGTCTCAAAACAGGCAAAAAAATTAATATATAGTCTATTGTGAATATGTGAGGAACCTTTAGAGGATGTCATATCCTCAACAGTTAAAAACATTGACGTAAATGTAACGTTAATTCCTTAACATCTTCATTTGTTTTATCTGGCAAAACCTTCATTCAAATTTCAACATGTAAAATAGAATACAATACCATTATTTTGTAACAAATAGTCCATTTTACAACAAAAATATTTACAATGATATATAAAAGTCTGCATAAATCATAGATTGGCAGGTTAATTAATGTTTGTTTTTAAATCATTCCAGGGGGAGATCATGGTGGGGATGAACATGAATTAGTATATCAGATCCTAAATGTCTCTGACCCAAACTCCGAGGACAACGTACATGTGTATAGTGCATCTCAGACAAAGACTATAGAGAGAATATTAACATTATTCTGACAAAATTTTCCAAGGACATCAAGGCACTACAGTCAACCCAGTGTGCCCTAACTCAATATATGCCCAGGAATTGTTCTTAGAATGTACAACTGGGTGTAGAGAAGAAATTGCTTAACTGTATTGTAACTGCGGTTCTCAATGGGAATAAAGAGACTTTAATTCCTTTTTATTGAATTAGTGAAAAATTAATGTAGCTTGTTCTACTTATCTTGAGAGAAATGGGAGAGCATCCCTGAGCAGAACACGTCTCTATCTATAGGGCTCCTTAATTCAGAATCGTATGTATTACAAGAGCATTTTAATTTCATATTCATATTCTTTAGGCAAAGAATTTCACTTCAACAGAATTAGATATTCTGTCAGATGAAGTTTACCAGATCTGGTGGGGAAGAAAATTCCCTTCAGAAAAGAAGAAGAAATTCTGGATGGATGTTACTCAAAAATATACAAAACCACATAACCACAATTCCACATAAGAGACAATGTAACATATATATATGGGCATTTAATCTAATATTAATTTAAGTACTCATAATGTGGACAATTATTATTTGAAACATTATCTACAGGAGTACAAGTACAAACTAATACTTGGGTGAGTACAGTTAATTCACCAATTTAATAAAATAATATAAGTTTGTAGTCATTTTCTCAGTCACTGGCTGGATCAGTTTCAACAAGGCAAATTAACAACTTAGGCTTGGACAAATGGTTTAAAATACGATTCTGTGATATACACCAGTCACTTAAGATGGAATCCAACCAAGAACAGTCATTTCCAGAAAAAGGCTCTTCAGGCCCATCTTTCCATGGAAGTTGAAACATTACGCACAAAAATTGTTTAACTACAAGGGGGAAATGATTTAGATGGGAAGCATTGCATCAAGATTTTTAGCCTGGCAAAGTATTTAATGGAGGGATTTGAACATATTGGAATTGGCCAAGCTTTTAGACGACCAAATGTAAATGACTCTTACTGAGGTCAGGATATGAAACTTATGAGATCAGGCACTCCGCCTTAAATAAACAATTGAATAATCTACCATTCCCTTAAGTTGTATTTACACGTTTCCGAACCAAGGATTTTATAATCAAGTCAATGACCAAAATGATAGAAAAGGGATCCATCTGTCATATACAAATATAAGAAAGGATCCGACCTACAAGTGTACCTATAAGAACTTAGAAAATTGTTGAAAAGGGTAAAATGGTATTCCAGAATTATGTTTACGCAATTTGAATTTTTATTAAGTATATTTTCTACAAATCACAAAAAAATATAATGGAAAATATGGTAAAAATGTGTTGTAACAGTGATTCTTAACACATGTCATGTTGACTCTTCAAATGAGTAATTTTGACATATTTTCATAGAACTTTGATAACAATCTTGAGTTTCGACTTAAATTCACTTGTCAATATTAGAACTGCAATATGTCTAAGCTTAATTTCATGTGCCATTCATGCAAAAATAGCTAGTTATCCTATTGTATTAAAAGACATCCTATTGTGTTTTTGATGTACACAGTGAATGACCTTCTACATTCATTGACAAATTGAGGTACTTCGACAAACCAGAACTCCTCTGTATCTATATATACCTTTATTGTTTAGTATTGACACTATTTTATAATTGAAACGTGAAATGAGAGAGGGTCCTAAGTGTGGAAGATACACAATATGAAAGTAAAGCAAAAATTTTAGTTTCAAAAATGAGGCCATATTGAAATTGCCATTATAGTCAAAAATCCATTCTGTATTGAATGTATTCCTTAAGGTAGGTGCAACATAGAACCTTCTACAAAAATAGAATCTTATTATAGACCGTATTTGGAAAGACATTATTTCACTGAACCTTCAAACAAACTCTGTCATTTATAATAACGATTGTGCCAATGTATCACGCCAGAGACATCCAAACCTGATTCCCATAGATAATTCTGAGCACCATGTCCAAACCTTTAAACAGACATGTATTCAATTTTCAATGATAACAAGATAAAAGAAAACATGTGTCATTTGCAAAAAAAGCAATTAAATCACAGGTTACTTAAAATATGGAAAACAAGGAAAATCCAGCTCTCCCATGAATGAACAATTCTCTGACAACAGAATATGGAATGCAACAATTGAGCAATTCTATAAAGAAATGAGGCCAGAAGAATTTCTTATAAAACACTCACTGACCTCACAGAAACCCTCCCCCTTCGATGACCTCCCCGTGGAAGCTGACCCCTATGTTATCGATGCTGCAGTGATACAAGGAGCAAATACCCTATTTCATGGTGAGGCCATACTTTTCGTCTTCTTGGTTGCTTGCCAGATTTTTACTCTTGGTGAGATCAGAGGCTGCAACTATTTAGGTAAAAGTGTGAAAAGCTCAGTGAGAAAGGGGGAATTATCTATTTCAAGGAAGAAAGTGTTGGAGGGTGTTATGGCAACACATTTCCCAAGCTTGGATAAGGAGGAGATTTGGAGGCTGTGCCGGGAGATTGTGAACAGGAGGATGAGATACATTTTCACAGAATGCCTGGATACCTTCCCATGGTTCACCCTTCGGTAGACATTCTTGCTAGTCTGGTCTCCAGGCATAGGCATAATCAGATAAAGGCTAAAAAATCAGTCTGCCAGCATTTTGAAAATTGAATGGTGTGAACACTTTGATTGTATCTAAAATTATCCATTTTTTCATTAAATAGATAGAGAATGCCAAATATGCTGTACAAGGTGATGTAAACATAGTTACTAGAAATCGGATGTTGCAAATTCTTGCCAAAAGAAATTGATCTTATTAAGTTTATTCTTGGTAAATATAATATTACATGTACTAGTTCCTTCAATGACAATCGTAAGCAAACTTGTTCCTTAGATGTGTACACTGTAGTACTATCAATCAATACATTGGAACCTTGATTTCTGATATTTAGCAGTACATGTATATATTTTATCTATAAACAAGTTGAGATTTATTAAAGGTAAATCCCTTACATGTACATTGTAGTTTAAATTCAGTTTTGCTGAATGTAAAAATAGAAACATTGAAAAAATGATAATAAAATATGTTTTCAACAGTAATTAAATGTTGTTCATTTATTTTACATGACTCTCATCGCTTAAGATTGTACAGTTCTAAACGTGAACGATAGATTGCAGCAATTGCACAATGCGTCATTAAGAAAAAAAACCATATTGTTGCAAGGCATTAAAAGGTGAAGTATTCGCCTACTGTAGGTAACTAATCATGTACACGTATGTGTACTGTACCTGTAATCTGAAATTCCTCATTTCCTAAAAATATATTTTACGCTTCTATCAATCATTTCATTCCTCGCCATGTTAGTTTTGTAAAGCATAGCCTACTCCAGATCATTTTGGAGATGAATTTGAGATGGTAAAGAATACACCAGTCAGGACATCGATAGGTCAATAGTACAATAACGTCATTTGAAGGGCAATATTGGATGTCCAATATATAGGGGTTATTTAATTGGTAGTTTTTGATAACAGGGTATCTCTGAAGGAAATACAATGTATCTAGCCAAGGGAGGGAGGGTTGATATATTGTTTTTACCGAGGGATATACCCTGAATCAAAAAAATGAACATTCAATAACTTATTTATCCTATACTTGTAGATTATGAGAATTCACTAGGCATTGAATGTTAGGGGACCCTAATGGAATTATTACAAAAGATAATTAAAATAAAAACACATGAATATATCAATTTAAAGTCCTCAACAATTTTTGTTTTTTAAAACTCAACAGCTTTTAACATTTACCAGTGTTGACATTTATATTATCGAATAGAGCCAAAGCGTACCTCAGCAGGAGATATATATGTCACCCGCTCACCTCAGATATCAATCTACTAAGTATGGGGTAATGACGTTATTATTATCTCGATGAATTTTATCACAAAGTCCATTCTACATTAATACATAAAGTATCGAACAAAAAATTAAATGCGTATACTATTCTTAAAGAACTGATCAATTTCGACCGCAAGTTCATATTCTGAAATGAAAATTCACATACCCCCTTTGCCTGACATAATAAATTTACCTTCCTAAACACCACTTATACAGTTAAAGCAATTAACAAATGGACAAAGGCGGGACATCGGTCGTGCAATGGTGAGCATGAAGAGCGAAATGCGTTTGAAAGAAATGCGGTGGCTTGGCACACGCTCAGTGTATGCGATAACCACAATTAGCACCCGCTAAGTCAATTCAACATAAATTCATTTTTACAATTGCAAGCTTAGAAATGAAACATCACATTCATGGAAGATACTTTGTATCGGAACATCATACAGGTGTATTTTAAGATCAATTTATCATAAAAATAATGTGTTACCACTCATTGACATTAATAAGATAATTATATTATTCAATATAACTGATATTTATATCAATATTGAAAATAATATTGAATAGTAATCATTTCTATTTTGTATTATATTGATTCAACTTGGTATATAGTCATAGATACTAGTATTCCGTAATTCCGCGGCATGGACGGAATTTGACAAAACATCAATTTTTTGCAGAATCCCTGATTTTCATGAAAATCCCGCGGAATTACCAGAATTTCCAGAAATTACATATTTTACGATCTCCTACCTTTGCGGGGTATTTGAAGAGTGTCTGTTTATGTCCAACAATCAATCATTATTGAGTACAAGTACGATTTCACCGTGAAATTCAACATTCTATCACGTTTAAATTCGCTAAAGCGAGTTCGCTAATGACGCGCAGTTCTTACCTAGAAATTAGCTGACTTCCGTTTCCGTTTTCGATGGATAGGTTTGTGAAGAAAATTGATTGCAGAATTTGGACTTTTTTTGAAAATTTGTGCAGAATTTCGATTTTCTCCTTGCAGAATTTGCTTTTTTTCTTGCAGAATTTTGACCAAATTTTAAACCAAACACAGTACACTGGTCATTAAGGCGTTGGAGACAGCAAACCCCATCATGCTGTTGCTGCATGTGATCTTCCTAGAGAAAACTAGTTCCTGAAGCCCTCAATATTTCCCCTGGTTATTTGACTGTTCATGGGCTAGCACATGTAGACAGGAAATGTGTGGAAAATGCTTATGTTGCTGGTGTCAATGCTGTTATTGAAGAGAGACATATCTGAGCCTTAAATAGATACAACAACAGAGATCTGTAAAATTACCATTAAAATTAGAACTGTGACATTTTTATACTTCTTGGTCAACAACACAGAAAGGTTGACTGACTTGTACCAGCAGGTCAAAAAGCTGAGTGATGAACTTCAAGAGTCCATACGAAAGATAAATGGACTGAACACGAAGCTTTTGTAACCTAAGAAAACAAAAAGATCCAAAAAGATCATTCCCAAATGAAGCAAAATATTCCTATCAAAAAAAGGTTTAGATAAAGGGTAGGAATCCATACAGAAGAACACACAAAGGCTAGGTTGTCATCCTTTGATGATGGATTGTCCCCATTACCTAATGTGCCGCATCTAGAAAAGCTACAACAAACACCTCAACAACAGCCTGACATCACTGTAAAAATCATATATCATTGCAACATTATATGAAGGAAAATACACCATGGGTGAATTTGGTGGGGGCTTTCAACCCACCTAGTAACCGAATATTAGGGAAGGGGGAGGGGGTCAGACAGCAAAATGGCAACAGGCTTTGTGGAGGAGTGGGCAGAATTCAATTTCTTCTGTACAGTAATGAAAACTTAGATAACTCATTCAATGTAAAACAAATAGAACTAATAATGATATTAATACTTTTTTTTACAAATCAGTTATTTCAAAACACCATTATTTACATCTTATCTAATCTTATTTATATCTTCTCTAAAAAAGCACAAACATGGTTGTGTATAGTTAAGACATGTAGGAATAAATGAAGAACAAATGTTTCAAGTGATGACAAATAATAATGTTACAATCTGCTGTGCTCTGTTAGTCAAAATAAACATTGCTCTGACAATGAAGAGGCAGGTCTATGGAAGATACTTAGTATAGGACTATTTGTCAGTAATAATTAACCTGGACATATAGCAAGCGATTGACAATTAGCAGAACTGTGACATATTTATGCTTCTTGGTCAACAACACTGAAAGGTTGACTGACTTGTACCAGCAGGTCAAAAAGCTGAGTGATGAACTTCAAGAGTCCATACCAAAGATAAATGGACTGAACACGAAGCTTTTGTAACCTAAGAAAACAACATCAAAAAAAGATCCAAAAAGATCATTCCCAAATGAAGCAAAATATTCCTATCAAAAAAAGTTTAGATAAAGGGTAGGAATCCATACAGAAGAACACACAAAGGCTAGGGTGTCATCCTTTGATGATGGATTGTCCCCATTACCTAATGTGCCACATCTAGAAAAGCTACAACAAACCCCTCAACAACATCCTCATATCACTGTAAAAATCATATATCATTGCAACATTAGATGAAGGAAAATACACCATGGGTGAATTTGGTGGGGGCTTTCAACCCACCTAGTAACCGAATATTAGGGAAGGGGAGGGGGTCTGACAGCAAAATGGCAACAGGCTTTGTGGAGGAGTGGGCAAAATTCAGTTTCTTCTGTACAGTAATGAAAACTTAGATAACTCATTCAATGTAAAACAAATAGAACTAATAATGATATTAATGCTTTTTTTTTACAAATCAGTTATTTCAAAAACTAGCTGTATGCAAAACACCATTATTTACAACCTTCTCATATCTTCTCTAAAAAAGCACAAACATGGTTGTGTATAGTTAAGACATGTAGGAATAAATGAAGAACAAATGTTTCAAGTGATGACAAATAATAATGTTACAATCTGCTGTGCTCTGTTGGTCAAAATAAACCTGTCAATGCTCTGACAATGAAGAGGCAGGTCTATGGAAGATACTTAGTATCGGACTATTTGTCAGTTATAATTAACCTGGACATATAGCAAGAGATTGACAAGGACAAATCATATTATCAAGATAGTGTTTGCCATTGTATATGGCTATACATTCAATTTCAAGTTAAAATTCATTAATCATCTAATAACCACTCAGCATTTTCAGAAAAATATGCGGGAAATGTCTTTGCTCCACAATATGAGCAACAGAGAGGCAGCCAGCCTCTGAAAAGTTTGTATTAGTTTAACTGTTATAGTGTTATTGAAGTTTTAAAACAGTATACTTATCTACACTTCCAGACCATTACAATGAGAATGCAAATAAGGTAGTTGCACAAAAAAAGCTGGACAAATACAGCACAATACAAATACAGTGTTAAGTTATTTATGTAAATACTAATTTGAGAACTCAAGGTCAAATTGACTTGATAAATTCCTATACTTTTGTACTACATGTACTCACAATACTATACAGTACCTGATATTTAGGCTTCTGATGCATCGGATATGTCTTCCTCCTGTTACCAAGGAATAGATGTATCATCTCATGATGAATAATTGAGATTTGCTCAATGGAACTGTAGATGTCTTGTGTGGGGAAGTGGTGATATAGCCTTATTTTGGCGCAGTCTTTTGATCAATGGCCATACCAATGCTAGATCTGTGCATGGATAGGACTGGATAGGAGATAACTTAGATATAATGTATCATGAACCCATGTGTCTCCCCTTTCCAATGGTGTGTATGGACCACTGAATAATCATTGTTTTTTCCTGCATGGGTGAAAAGGTTTCTGTGCCAAGTTTTCACACATCCTCAATCAACTGATCCTATTGTACAATCAGGTAAGCCATTGTGTAATTTGGACTGGGGATTAAATTCTGGTTACTAGAGTTACATAATACTTTTTTTATAAAATGAGTTATAAAAAATTTCAACAACTAGCTGTAGGCAATACGTCATTATGATTGCACCAAACTCATGTTGCCTCTTACAACTACCAACATGGTTGTGTATAGTAAAGACAAGTGGGGATAGATGAAGAACAAGTTTTTTAAGTGAGGACTGTTGTACTCTCTGTCAGTCAAGATAAGTTTATAAATGAAGAAGCGAATCCATGGAAGATACTTTATATATCGGAAAATTCATATTATCTCGATATACTTAGTCATTTAACATATGCAGGTACCATAAAGTATATTCTTTCTTGATACATAAAGAAAGAGAAGTATAG